ATCACGTAGATCATTAGGCACCTCCATCGAGCCTTAAAAGGAAAAGAGTTTACAAACGAGCTATTTTTTTTTTTTTTTTTTTTTTTTTTTTGCCAAAACTAAAAGCCATCAAACACTCATTGGATGTTCTTTTGCTCGTTATTGTGTGTGTGTAACTGTGCATAAAAGTGTGGACAATATCTCTCGTGTGTTGACGTAAATGCGTTGTAAACATAATCTATTTCCTTTAACTTTAAACGCTACTGACAAACCCCACACCCAGCAATACATATTAAGTTGTTCTTTATAAGCAATAGTGGTTATAAATAACCAGTCATCTCAGTGTTATATCTATTTATAACCACTCTAATGACATTCATGAATAAAAGTAAAATGCCAAAGTTGGTATACTAATGTTTCTCATGAAATTTACTCCAGTCCATTCAAGCCGAACAGAGCCCGAGAACATAAACAAAACAAGCTTTCCACCAAAAGCGCGTGTGGTGGAGTAACAACTTAGCACCAATACCGCAAATGATACGAATGCGACGCTAGATCCATGATTTCGGCGTTGATTGGAGTTAAAGATCATTGATTACTTGATTACACACACACATATATATATGTATGCGTGTGTGTACACACACATATATATGTATGCGTGTGTGTATGTATATTCCACAAACAGTAACATGTACACAAAGATGAAAAGGAAAACAGCCACAATAAGAAATGAAACAATATCGTAACGTTTCGAACTCTTCACGAGTTCCTCTTCAGAAGAATAATTAACCGAAATGGATGATTCATTTCGGTTAATTATTCGTTCGAAGAGAAACTCCTTTCTTATTGTGGCTGTTTTCCTTTTCATATATATATATATATATATATATATATATATATATATATATATATATATATATGAAAAGGATGTACACACACACACACACACACACACACAACACACACACACACACACACACACACACACACACACACACACACACACACACACACACACACACACACACACACAAACACACACACACACACATACATATATATATATATATATATATATATATATATATATATATATATATATATAATTACGTGTACATATGCACTTATGTAGTTTGTGTAGAAAGATAAATAAAGATTCAGATATAGATATAGAACAAGAGTGCTTGGTTAACAGTCAGAAAGGGAGAGTAGATCTCGGGATGAGGCTTGAGGACCATCAAATATATTGCGATGGAAGGCGCGGTAGAGGACACGAGGTGAGAAGAGCATGACAACCTACGCGGATAGTAACTGGGCATCTCAGGAAATTGAAGAAAAAGTAAATGAAACGTAACGAAGATGTTACTAGTCATTCACTCGCTGGCCGCTGCTTTTTCCTGGCGACATCGAGTATGCATGAAGGTCTGAGGAAGTGCTACAAGAGACGGAAAGGAAATAGTAAGAAGGACCAGAAAGGGCACGTGTGACGATGAAATTTGGGTAGGTAGAGAGGCGTTGTACAAAATCGTGTGGACAGTAAGGCAGAGGAAGCAGCAGTTATCTATGTATCAATATGCTGTACATCTATAGGTATGTATACGCTGCATATGATCACGTATATGTGTATAGACCCTTAAAACTTCTCATAGTTTGTCACTGATCACACCTGTTACGTAAATTGTCCAAGAGTAAGGTTATTTCATATCATTTGTGCATCTGCTTAATAAGAGTGGGTAATAATTTAGGCAGAGGCACAAGAGATGTCAAACCATTTTCTAGGCAATTTCATACTCGCATTACATGCATTTGGTGTGACAGATGGTACAGGCATAAAATAAAAATTAACGGCAATTAAAAGGGCAAAACTCAGAGAGTAGCGTGTGAGATGCAAAATAGCCATAACACATCAGACAGATGAGGGAAGACGCTAACACGCTGTAAGTCATAAGCAAATAAGGGGATATACGATTACACAGGTTGTTCTTGAAGGGAAACATGTAATTTATGCAATAAAAAGAACCACACTCTTCGATCAGATCACTGTTTTATTTTAAAAATAAGCGTAATGATGACTGATAATTTCCAATAACGATAAAGAATGACCTTGGAGAGTACAAAGGGCCAAAAGACGTAGGCGATACACATGTATTCAACAAGACCTACCAAGTCGTATATTTCCCGAGTCGTGCTGTCACTACCTGTCACATTCGATGCAAAAACAAGCCATTAGTTTCCGGGCATGGGTGAGCTGCGTTCGAGGTGGCTTTCAGGCTGCACACCCGAAGCGAAGAATGCCGTAAATCTCCTTTCTTGGCTGAGATACACTTTGTGAAAGCTACACATGAAGGGAAATGTACTAACTAAAATCTGATAAAGGATTAACGGTTGTAAAGATTTTTTTATTAGAAATTGGTTCACGGATATTATTTGGTTCTAATTAGCTGAGGATGGGAGATGCAGGGGAGAGGGGAGAGCGTCGTTCACGTGAAATGAAAAAAAAAATCATGACACTAGAAAGGGAGAATGAGCAGGCAACCATGGCTGTGACAAAGCAGAATCGAGAATCAAGACAATTTATATAATGGAGAGAGACTGCGTGTGATTTTCTAAAAAAAAAAAAAAAAAAAAAAGAACAATAAAAAATAAATAAATAAATAAATAAATAAATAAAAATAGATAGATAAATAAATTAATAAAAAGTGACAAAAGAGTTATACACAAAGAGTGAACGAAGGATAAAGGAGCTGGATAATGTGACGGACGGCGAGTTTTGGTTCGGAAAACGAATTTAACTGATACACTTGCGCGCGACAGATAGGGAGTGCAAAGGGGAGTCTCATCAGAGAGGATTTGGTGATAAGATGGGGAAGGAGGGAGAACAGAGAGGCAGAAGGGAAACGTAATCATGGCTGAAACGGGATGGATTGATTATTAAGATAATGGAATAGGAAAATGCGAAGAAAAAAAGGGAAAGAAGGATAGAGTAAAAACGGATGAACGGTAAACGTGACGAAGAATATATAAGGCACCGAGTATGAGAGGGAATGACTGTCAGTGAGAGAAAAACATGCCAAACCAAGGCAAGACCGGATGGGGCGGGAGCGGAAACAATGATCTTGATAAAATATGAATGAAAGCGTGCACATATGTACACATTTGAATACGTAGAGACCAATATATATGCAAACCCATAATCATATGAATAAACCTTAGCACGATACACCACAATGCTTAGGCGTGTAATACGCTTTCTCAAAAGAAGCAGAAAAATATTGCATCACAAAGCTAAGCTAATTGAAGTGTGCGTGGACATGTGCAGGCGCGTAGGACGAAATAAGATAAGCACGTAATCGGCAGAGAAGGTAGGACGCTTAAGCGTTGCCGGTGATATATATATATATATATATATATATATATATATATATATATATATATATATATATATATATATTCATGTGTATGTATATATATTTGATATATATTATATATATACATACATAATATGTATAAATATATATATTTAGGTATATATATTTAGTGGATATATATATATGTTACAGGCAATATATGAAACCAGTCATTACACGTAATGCCTAACATTGCTAGGCATTACGTGTGATAGCTGTGACCACCTGTCATTTCACGTAATAACTCAAATACCCAGTCATTCCGTGTAATGACTAAAAAATGGGACCAATTATTTCATGAAATGACTGAACTAATAATGCAAAGATATCAACTACAATTCACACTTTATTTCAACTCATAAAAACATTAATACACGTATGTGCAAGTAATTACACTTTGTAATTTGTTTGTGCAAGTTATGGTGCAATTGAAACTACTGTTCATACATTCTATAGAAATACAATTAGGTACCATACAAGTTGTCCTCCATTTGTGCATATGATGATGACATGTGAATACTGTTCACACTATTTTCACTTATATATTCCTGAATTGAAACATTGTCAAAGAGGTCCAAGTTTAGACTTTATTAGCACAAGTCATGCTGGCGTGGCACCTACTATTACATTTAACTTTGTTTTTAAAGCATTTGCATCTGTTTGTTTGACACGTCTTGGGTCCTGCGCAGTTGCATTTGACAAAACCATGTCCACCACAGTTCAATTCAAAGATAATGGCTTCTCGCAGAGATACCACCCTGTCGTGATTCATGGAGTCCTCTCCTAGAAGGCGATGAGGGCATAAGTCAAACTGGTTGCATGACAGCTTGGCCTTCAGAACTCCTGCCTTGACTCCAATGGTGTACATGTCATTTTGATTCCAAGACGACACCGAGAATGTTCTGAGGATCACCTCGACCCCTACCTACCAGTGGAATAAGGACAGCAGCATTATCAAGTGGTTCACCAGCTGCAAGGTCAATTCGACTCCATTTTACAATGTGTTCAGCCTGGGCAAATTGACTCTTATGGGCACCTTTTCTCTGGGCAATGATATTATTCTCTCTGTGGCTCAAATCGTTTTCGGGCGATGCACCGGGGTTGACCAAAGTTACTGCTCGGCTGACAGCAGGGCTGATCTCTCTCTGGGTGCTGGAGACTATTGACTAATGACAGCCACGTTCAGCATCGATATCAACCTCGGCTGTTAGAAAACGGCAAGGTACCGGATGGTTCGGGTCTACTGAAGGATGATGGCCACGCTCCACATGAACGTGAACCTCGGCTGATACAAGTCGGACAGGTACCGGGGTGTTGGGGACTACTGAAGGAGGACTGGAATGTTCCGTTTCAAAGTGAACTTCGGCTGATTCAGCACTGGGAACAGGACCTGGTTCCTCTCCGTTTTGACCAGTGGTGAGTACAGCTAACAGAATTGAATTACCTCATCAGGCAGTGAGGATGATACCATGCCCACTTTGGCCTCACATCCAAACATGGCTGCAAAAGGTGATCTGCAAATACCTGCATGCAAGCTGGAATTCTTCTGGAATTGGACAAACTTGATTCCAATGCTTCAATCCGTGGTGTTGTTCTCTCCCATCCATGCAATCAGCATGTCTTTAATGTCACCGTTTGCTCTTTCCACGGATCCTTGGCTGATTGATTGAGGACAAGTTTGGGCCAGATGATTTTCAGCTCACTGATCACTTTGGCTGCGAACACTGACCCATTATCACTCTGTAATATGTACGGAGCTCCGAGCAAGAGTAATATGTCAGTGAGATGATGCGCCACTTCTGCTGCATGTTTCGACGATGGCAGACGCAGGACACAAAATTTGGTGATGTGGTCTTGATAGACCATATTCCATTTGTAGGAACCCTGTGCCATCGATTGCATATCAGTCAAGTCCACTTGGCTGTGAGAAGAAAACCCATCTGTCATGATGGGTTGAACAACCACACCCTTTGTAACTGGTTGCTTTCTTTTCTTCTGGCACTCTTCACAGTACGATTTGAACAATTCAAGAGCTTCGCGTGTGACATTAGCATGTTTCTTTGCTGTTTCTTTGATCATGCGATCCCGCCCGCCATGACCTGTAGCGATGTATGCTCTCTTGGTTACGTCGTAAGTATCCTCGATGGCGACGTAGTACAGGACCGGTTCATCGTTGCTCTTTCGTTTCTTTATGAGTTTTTCTATATCACCGCAGAGAAGTATCTTATATCTGAAGCAGACATATAAATGTATGTGTCAGTGGCAACTTCGGATATGCTTTCATAGACAGTTAATCCGTTAATTACTATGGTAAACTAGAGAGTGTGTTGCGGGTACCGGAAAAAGACATACAAATGTATGCGTCGGAGGCAACTTCACAACTATTAAAAACCAGCTAATCTTTTGATTAGTATTGAACACTCCGAGGTGAGCCTTCCTCATCCCCTGCGGTGCCACAGGTGAGTATTGAGTTAGGAATGTGAGAACAACAGTGTGTTCCTATAAAATCATTGATTCATACGACAAAAGTGTTGATTTGTGCATGATAATCAACACTTAACACTTTAATCAATACAATAATACAGCAATAAAATAATACATTTATTTTTCACGAATCCACGGCTCCCTGTTGGTTACCTTATACATGTACTTACTCAGTGAGCAGGTAGTATTCATGGCGACTCTTTGTACTGTTGCTGGACTTTGCTTGCTTCAGTTCATTGATAATTTAGAAATATTGCTCCTTCGTTATCAAAACCCTCTTCATCTGCTCATATCTCCGATAAAGTTCGCGCTTGAATATCTCCTCCGTTGTGTCTGCCATGGTTCTGTTCGTAGCTGTGTTGGTACTGAGGTCCCAGGCGAATGTTTTATAGAGGCCCCCTTCCCTCCACACCATCCCCTGGAATAGCACTCATTCTCCCCTCTTCCAGCTTATTTGTTACTTGACTGTACAGATGACATAGCATCATAGGCTTCTACACTAATTGCCTGAATAAACAAATGGATACTTAGGCAATAGGTGTAATCAGGGTGCGTATTTTTCAGTCATTACATGGAATGACTGGCTATTTGTGTCATTACGTGAAATGACTGGTGGTCATAGTCATTTCACGTAAAGCCTAAATATTTTATAATTTCATGTAGTGACTAGTTTCACATATTGCCTGTAACATATATATACATACATATATATGTGTGTGTGTTTTTGTATATATATATATATTTATATATGTGTGTGTGTGTGTGTGGGTGTGTGTATAAATGACTGCCGCGATGGTACAGTGGTTAGAGCACTGGGCTCCGACTCTCCCGAGTTCAATTAATCGCCGCGGCAGTCATAAAAATGCCTGCGCTCTGACTGCTGGCTCGAGCCTGAGAAAACGACAGATCGCCTTGAGAAGTCAAACGCAGGTGTCGTAGGGGAAGTCACCGCGGTTGATTAGGAAGGGCATCCAATCAGGCAAGGGTGACACTGCCATATAACTTCTCAATACTGAATTGAGAGAGGCCTATGTCCTGCAGTGGAATGAATGGCTGTTGAAAAAAATACATATATATATATATATATATATATATATATATATATATATATATATATATATATACATATATATACTTATATACACATATATGTGTGTGTGTGTTTATACATATATACATACATATACATACATATACATACATAAATATATATACATACACATATGCGCGTTATTGTGTGTGTAACCGTGTGTGTGTGTTTATACATTCATATATATATATATATATATATATATATATATATATATATATATATATATATATATACACACACACATATATATACGTCAAATGTGTGCGTACATATAGATACATATATATGTGTATGTAGTGTCTGTGTGTGTGTATACATACATATATGTATATATACATACATATAAATGTATATATACATACATACATACATATGCACGTGTATGTACACACACACACACACACACACACACACACACACACACACACACACACACACACACACACACACACACACATACACATATATATATATATATATATATATATATATATATATATATATATATATATATATATATACACATATATGTGTGTGTTTGTGTGTTTGTGTATGTGTGTGTGTGTGTTTGTGTGTGTGTGTATCTGTTTATGTATGTATGTATGTGTATTTATGTGCATATGTACATGCATACATACATAAATACATATATATATATATATATATATATATATATATATATATATATATATATATGTATATATATATATATATATATATATATATATATATATATATATATATATGTATGTGTGTGTGTGTGTGTGTGTGTGTGTGTGTGTGTGTGTGTGTGTGTGTATATACACACACACACACACACACACACACACACACACACACACACACACACACACACACACACACATATATATATATATATATATATATATATATATATATATATGTGTGTGTGTATATATATATATACATATCTATAAATTCATACATATATATGTATGTATGTATGTATGTATACATGTATACATACACACCCTATTCTTTGTCATGGCACGGCAGCATGAAATCTTGTTTCCATAATTTTCAGTCTACAAATTAGACGCAACGCATTATTTATCAGTCTAATGAAATATATTGAGGGTAAATAAACGCGGAGCATGAATTCAAACCTGCCACCAACCATGCTCCTCCTTCAGTAGTGATTCGAGATGCAGACCGAGATGAACCTCACTTGGAATGATAATAAGTCCTGTATGGCGATATTCAGGCGCCCGTGACGAAAACATAAGGCGATGAAATGACATTCTTCGGGAGCTAAGATAACATGCCTCGGGCAGTCGCAGCAAGGTAGTTGGAGGTAAAGATAGCTATGGCGAGGAGTTCATCGAGCGCGTGTAATAACGGCTATTTCCGTCCCCGCTGAGGAACACAGGAGATCCCGACGACATTTTCCCTTCACGCGCTCTCGCTCGGGGGTCGAGGGGAGAGGGAGCCGGGGAGCGGGGAAGTGGAGGCAGAGAGCGAGAGGAAGGTGTCGGCGATGATGACCGAAAATAAGATGAAGCGGCCGTACCTGCGAGAAGTGCTTCGTATGACCGGAGGAATGTCCCGCGGGTGAGCAGGGCCGCCGAGCGAGGTCGT